CCAGGTGACACGGCAGGATGACATCATCACCCGGAGCAGCAATGATTGGAAGATTTGAACCAATCACCACAACCACCTCACCTGGAAACAGATGGAAAATTAATTCTCCTGAACTCCTGCAGAACTTCCACAGATCTTCAGTGTGTAACTCTGTAAAGTGACACACACAAACACTTGAAGATCTTGAACAGCCAAATGAGTGTTTCCGCTGTTATTCCAGAAATGTTTCTTACTGAGATCAAATTATTTAAAGAAGTCCTCCTCAGTCTATTGGTAAACAGGACAGGGATCTCAATATCAGGATGTGAATTTACAGCAGAATAAATTAAGCTGAATGCATCCGGTTTAAATGGAGGCATATCTGTGCTGGTTCAGACACACGCAGTGTCAGGGATTCAAAGTTTTGATCATGGGAAACAGTCTGGTCAGTAACTGCTTTAATCTAAACCTGAACAGCTTCCTCTGTGAGTAATCTCTGTAAATAAGTGACATCATCATGAGATCATCAGACAGACAGTAAAATGCTGGGTTCCTGTGGGTACCTGCTGATCCAGAACGATGAAATTACAGTAACCAGACACAGGAAGACAAAAAAAAAACAAAAAAAAACAAAACCTTAATCCACAGAGACTTTTAACCAAATTCTTCTGAATTAAGTTGTTAAAGCCAAAACTAGCTCATCTGTGGAAAACCATGATGGACGCATATGTCGGCTAAAAATATTGGAACATAGTGTTAATTCATCCCCTTACCACAATGTATGATGTGGTTTCTGGTGTTTGTGTGGAAACAACAACGCAAATATTCAGTATATTAGGTTTGTGTGACATTGGTTTAATTCAGTCCTCGTTTGCTGACATTACTTTTCCCCCCGTAAGGCCATGATTTCTTAAATAAATTCAATGTAATTTAAGAGAATTAAGTTCTACAGTGTGGAGACGTTACCGAGTTGACTGCTGAAGACTTCTGGACTTCCTTTACCATCACGGGACGTCGGAATAACTGGAAAAAGAAATTCACAACTTCAGAAGAGATCATGAGAAGATAGAGAAGATTTTATTATACAAGCAGCTGACATCATACACAAAAACATGAAGCCTGAACATGAATATATTTAAAAACAAACAAACAAAAATATATAAACATATGGAAGTTAATTAATATAATCTTTTTTGCCTTATATTTGGTAATGTTTTATTAAATTGTGATGTTTAATGCTTTCTATATAGATTAGTTAGAAATATTCACAAAATAATTCCTTGACCCTGATAACAGGTCAGATAAAATAATAATAAAGAAACCACACACAAAAGTCCCTATATAATTAAATTTCTTTTATGTCTAGTCACCAGTGATTAACTAACTGGATGTGTGGTGGGGTTTTCCCAGAAATGACTCAATGATTGAATTAAATCAAGACTGAAAAGAGCAGAGTCATGATTACCAAACAATAAATGAGGTTATGACATGTGTAAATTTACAACTCAGTAGAATATTCTTAGAAAGATTAAATGTGTGTACCACACAAATTAAGCACCCCTTCCCTTCCAAGGTGAACATATCTGTTCAGAACAAAGCAGGAGATCCATAAAAAGCTACAAGTTAATCTAGATTTTCTTCTGTTGTCTTATTTTGTACGGTAGGTTCAGGGAGTTTACCTCATAAAACGGTGGAGTAGGTCTAACTTAAAATCTAACGCAGAATGGAAACTTTAAACTGAAAGCCTGACTAAAAATATTTACAAGAATAAGTGAAAAATATGTAAAATGAAAACTTTCACGTGACTGAATTTGATTGGACAAATCAGTCACGTGATCAGACCTTACAACTGCGCCGAAATGGCGGCTCATTTCAAACTTTTTCGTACATTTTTCAAAGATAGACTTGCGAAATGAGCAAATGAAAACATTTGAGGCGAGAAACAAAGTTTGAAATGTGTCATTACGTGATATCAGAGATTATATTTAATGTTTTCTAGCGAGTTTCCACACCGGACATGTTTCCTTGTTTCGTTCTTGTTGCTAGGCAGCAGTGTGGCGCACGCGTTTTGTTTACGCTGTGAGAAACAAGTGTGGCGCGTCTGACGTAAATAGGCGTGTCGAACCTTTACACATCTTTAGAATGCTCAGTGGATCATCGCCTTTATCCGACAAATAAATACATAACACTCTTATCAACGCTCAAATTGGAAGAAACTGCTTCATACGGGACAGAACCTGCCTGATAATCACCACAATTTAACATTATTTTACGTCTCAAAAGTAAATTAACTGACGTCATTACTCACAGTGACACACAACAAAGTTGAACTGCTAAAAGGGAATTCGGCTTGTTTATTTCTTGAAAATGTGAATGAAATGCTGTGAGTTTACCTTGAACGGGAGTCCAGACGAGCAAAGCTGAGCACAGGATGAAAGTCCACAGTGAGGATGAGTCTCCACCCAGCGAGCTGTACACAGACATGGCTCGTAGTTAGTCTTTGAATGAATAACCCGAATCATCGTGGACCGTTCAAGTAGGCTACTTTCTTTAGCCCCGCCCCCTCTCTCTCTTTTCCTTAGTCATTTGACCAGAAACATCTGGAAACACCTGGAGAAAACACGACCAGCCAACACAGTCATGAGCTGGAACACCCTTTCACCCAGTTATGTAGGTCTTACTAAACAAAAGTCCATCACTGAGCTATAAACAAGTGTTGTTCTCCATCACTTTGAACTACAGACATATTTATACAATAAATATACCCCCTGCCCTGATCCTCTGGCTCTTCTGGGTGTTTCTGTTTGCAACACTATCACTCCAGGACACTTACGCTGACCTTAGGAGTCATTTTCAACTGTATCAGATTGCTTTGCATGTTAAGTTGGGCACAAAGATTTCCCTTTTTATAGATATTGTTGGAATTGCAGCTTCCAAAAAAAAAAAAAGGAATTGTAATTATCAGCAGAGGTTTAAAAAACCCTTGAAAGATAAAGGATAAAGGTCAGTCTTTCATGTTTTAGACAGAGAAGAGAGGTGGTTTCACCTGAAACCTCTACTGATAATGATCATTACTGGGTCAACAACCTTCTTAAGAGACAGCTCCCACAAGAGATTAAATACCTGGGATTCTTCACCATTGGATTTTAGAACTGAATAAGCTTCTCAATCAACGGGAAAGCATCTTTGAAAAACTTAAAGAAATGCAGTATTTTTATTACCTCAGTTCACAAAACTTTTGCTTTTCTAATCTAATTTCATTTGTTTTAATTGACTTACATTTTTTTCTTCTATCTAACATAATACATTTTTTTCTGAAACCTGTTGACAAAAATAATAATAATCGAAGTCAACAGTTAATTTTTTGAGTGTAGAAAATTATCAACTACAAGGAACAATTTTACAGCTGCTGTGCATGTGCACTCTGAATCTTATGTGAATCTCATCAAACTTCTGATACTTCACAAATCTCCTTTCATTATTGCAAATCAGCCAGCGAATGGCTTATTTCCATCCATCCTTATCAGGGTCGGGAGGGAGCCCATCCCAGCTACCATAGGGCGAGAAACGGAGTGCACCCATGACAGATCTCCAGTCTGTTGCGGGCCAATACAGAAACACATAGAAAAATTCACACTCACATTGCCTATGAGCAATGCAGAGTCTCCACTTAATGTTTGGACTATGGAAGGAGGCCATGGTACCTAGAGAGAAACCTTTAAATTTCCTTTAACGCTTTGATCTGTATCAGATACTGGGAAAAAAACTGAACATATTTAAACACAAAACAGTCTTGGTGTTTGGGGATGATTTGTTTCAGTCTAGTTAGCAATGATCAGGGGGCATTTTAACCCTTTAATTTGTCCATCGGAGATGCTTTAAGGTCTCTTTAAATACTCAGGTATAACATTTAAATAAGTTCACACAGTGAGACTAAATAAATATTCATTAAACACGCTGACAGTGAGGCAGAGGAGTGTTTCTTCTCCAGGCTGAACGTCACAGTTTTGTACTGAAGGAGGAAATCCATCAGTTTCACTGCTTGATGTTTCCAAGCAGATCCTCCAGAGTCTGACAGCAGCAACTCTGACTGAAGACGTCTGTAAGAAATATTTCCTGTTTACATCCTCTGATCTTCCACTCTGGGTTTTCTTGTTCTACACTTTCTTTATGTGAAAATGAGCTCGATAAATAAACTGGACATGGTCTTGAGCTGGGGTCAAAGTTCAAATTAGGCTCACTTCCTGTTATAGAAGGTGATCTTGGTGCTGCTGGGCCCGAGTGTCTCCCGGTGGCTGTTGGTTTGAATCCAACCTGACTGAATATCCAGTAAAAATAAAAAGTGTTTTTCTCATTTGCCTCTGGCTGTTTCTGATTTAAAAAAAAAAAAAAAAAAAGGTTGAAAAGGTTTTTTTTCAAATCCAATTAAGTGTGATGGCAAGAATCAACATTATTTGTGTTTGTTTCTTACTTTTAATGTCTAAAAAAATGCACTAATAGAATTATGCAAAGAAAGCAGCGACAGCAGCAACGGACATGAAGGCGATGACAATAATGACCAAGGAGACCCTGGTGATGTCAACAAAGGAAAAAAGGTAAATGCACAAAAATGTCACCGAAACAGAAATAATGAGGAGAAGAGCTGGATTGTTATCTCACCGTTTCTTAGAGTTTTGTCCTGATGATCTTGCGTTTGGAGCGAAGTCTCTGCCGTTGAGGTTTTAACGTGGTTTGGATCTAAAAGTCACGAAAAAAAAAAAATGAAACTGAAGGTTTGTAATGGTACAGAAAAAACACACAAAACTGTTGGGAACCACAAACATGACCAAAACAAATCTTCTCACCGACTACAAGTTCAACAACAGCAGCTTTCACTCTGCTCTGCAGCTTGGGGATGAAACATCTGTATCTGCCGTTGTCTTCCTCCGACACGTTCAGGATCTTCAGTGAAATGTTCCCGTGTTTCATGTCGTCCATGAACAGCTCCGTCCTCCTGAAGTACGAGGCCATCTTCATGTCGGGGACCTCCTTCCTGTCCCTGTACAGGTGAACGTACTTCACTCGGCTCAGCCGGTCCGACGGGTCGGGCTTCAGGTCGGGTTTGGACCACTCCACCGTCAGACCCTGGACATCGAACATGGGCTCCAGGTGACACGGCAGGATGACATCATCACCCGGAGCAGCAATGATTGGAAGATTTGAACCAATCACCACAACCTCACCTGGAAACAGACAGAAAATTAAACCTCCTGAACTCCTGCAGAACTTCCACAGATCCTCAGATCATCAGTGTATAACTCTATAAAGTTACACACTGAAGACCTGAACATCATGAACAGGCCCGTGAGTCTTTGTGGTGTTACTGCAGAGGTGTTTCTGGGACTAAATTATTGAATGAAACAAGTCCTCCTCAATATGTTTCCAAAACCAACAGAGAACTCATGGGAGATTTGTTTCACCCTAAAGCCTTGTTTAGTTCTAATAAGTGATGCTGAGTCAGTGGAATTAAGGAGCCTGGGACCTGGTAAACCTCAGTTCAGAGTTCACATGGGCTGAGGTTGTGTATAAACCTCAGCTCATGTGTCCATAAGGACCCATATGATCACAGGGTGACAGTGACATTGCACATCATAGGTCACAACACCACTGAAGGTTCAATATGTGGGACTCTGTCAGCTTTTATACGTCAAGAAACTGGAATACAAGGTCAATAAAGTCAGGTTCTGCCATTTCTATCTTCGAAAGACTTCAAGAAAGTAAATTTCTCTGACCCATAACACTCACTATACGTTTGAGAGATTTCAGACATAACCAATGAGTATTTCTTAGTTTTAGTGATTCCTCTTTAGAGAGATGGACCTTTAGGGATTAACCATGCAAAAAAACAGGTCGAGTTTCTGAGTTCTGTCAATTTTGTTGAACTTCTATTCTTTATCACCTCTTCAATAACAAAAGCATCCATCAAGCTTTTGAAGGAAGCCACAAGTAACAAAACTGGTTTAACACATGAAAAAGTTGGATTTCCTTCTTCAAAACTGTTCAACACTGCGGCTTTAATTTCATTAATTTTTAATCAAATGCTCGTGATAACCCTCCCAGGCCAGAGACATGTCAACCGTTAGACATGACAAGGAAAGGCAAAGGTTTTTTGTTTGTTTCAGCTCCAGTTTAAACAGAATCACCTTTGTCTTCTTCCATTTCTTCAGTCTTTGGGGTACTAAGAGTTACAAGACGAGATGAAGAAACAGCAAGAAGCAGAGAGCGTTTAAAAGTACAAAACATAGCTGTTTTCACATTTAACTCATAACCTGTCTTTGTGGAGGATGTGTAGCACAGCAGGGTAGAAGCCTAACCGATTAGCACAAATGGATGTCTGCGTATATAATAATAATTATAATAACTGATTATTGGTGGTTATTCAAACATGATCTACATGGCAGATAAACAACAAAGTCACCAAAATCACCAGAGCTGCTTATATTTGGAAAGTCCAAATGTCATCTAAGCATTTAAAACAAATGAGTTGTTATTAAATGTCACAACGTCCTTTTGTTCAGTCACATCAATTCTTAGCTGATTACTGATGAAATACTTTACAACAATTCTCCGTGACTCACTGACTGACTCACTGTGGGACGGATACGTATTGAAGCCTGTTTCCACTAAAAAAAAACCAACCAAACAAACAAACAAACAAAAAAACCAACCCAAAAACCAAGTATCTAAAATCGAAATTTCGAGTTACTTTTCTCAACATTTCGAGAAAATAACTGGAGTTATAGATCCTTTTTTTCCTTAGTGGTGGTAACGGGCTTCCATAGATATTGGATGGGTGGATGGATACGGCAAATGCGGCGTCTAAGTCTCTCTTTTTTTTTTCAGCGGACGGTTTTAACGTTTACCGGGAGATCTCCACACCTGTCAGATGTTGGTGCCAAACAGCAAAAAATAGCACGTGTCTTCTGTTACACTTTAATCACGCGGCCCTGCAGTATTAACAGAGACACCAGTCTAACACGTTCACACTCACACTTTCAGCCTGTTCAGTGTTGTCCGTTATAATTAATCCTCTGTGAGCGCTTAAACGGGGGAGAGCCGCTCATCGCAAATGAGAGCCTGCTTAAATCATCTCGTTGAAAGTTAACTCACTGATAATTGTCATCACTCACAGCTGTGAGCTGACAGTAACGTTTACCTCCAGCCAGAGTCCACACGCTGAAAGCCGAGCACAGAATAGAAGTCCACAGCGAGGCAGAGAGTGGGCTGTACTCAGACATGGTGCACAGAACACGGAGTCCGTGGATTAATTAATCAAACCTGAGGTTGTCTGTGCTCCTGCCTCGATCTCACTGGATGTGTCTATGAATGACCTGTTAGTCTTCAAATATCCAGACACGGTAACGAGCAATGTTCCCTCTAAGCTGCGCGCGTGCGCAATTGCTCACTGCTGCTGGCACGGTCTCTGCGCACAGAAAATCTGCGTTGCGCAAAAAATAAATAAATAAATAAATAAAATCTAACCTGAATTGAAATTAATATTAAAACTTTAACAATTCTGTTTTGCAGTGCTAGTCAGTAAGTGACTGGCTGCTTAGAACGATGCCACCTTATTCTATAGTCCAGCCAATAATGCGATGGTTGAGATGTGAGAGATTTGCGAGGTTTAGCGCAAATCTTGTGTAGTTAGTGTGTAGTGTAGTCAATAGTTTAGTTGTGTGTCAGAACAAGGAGGCGACTGCTGAATACTGCTTTTCCTTTTTCCAATCTATACCGGTACACATACCAGCCAAACAATTTGCGTTATGGAACAGAATGATTTCGGGATTTATATGGAAGGGCGTAAACCCAGAGTTAGATATATAACATTGCAACTACCTAAGGAACGGGGTGGACTTTCCCTCCCAAACTTAGAAAGCTATTTTAAAGCGGCACAATTAAGATACTTAGTTTATTGGTGTGATCCGTGGTATGAAGCAAAATGGAAATATTTAGATGTGACACAATTAAAATCACCACTACAGACAATATTAGGAGATAAAAATATATATATTTGGAACAGAAAAATAATTTAAACGAATGGATTAAAACTCCTTTAAAGATATGGTTTGATAAATGCAAAAGCCTTAAATCAGGAGCTGGAATCAAACTCAGATGGGTCACACAGACACTGTCTGAGGTTTTAAATGACTATAAAGGAAGTACAACAACACCTGTGGTCTCTTTAGATACAGTGGGGCAAAAAAGTATTTAGTCAGCCACCGATTGTGCAAGTTCCCCTACCTAAAATGATGACAGAGGTCAGTAATTTGCACCAGAGGTACAC